AAATCTTCCTGAGGTCTGAGGTAAATTGGTCTGAGGTAAATCTTCCTCAGGTCTGAGGTAAATTTTCCCTCACTGAGATAGCTATCATATCTTTTTATCTTGAAGAATTCCCAAGAGGTCAAGTTTGGGACTTTCACTTTATGGACATTAACCAACCAAGGTGTCTTCTCATGGTGAAGACAAGAAGATGCCTTTAATTTTTGGGACAAACTTATAGATTAAATTGTCGGTAGTACCTCTATGGAGTCCTTCAGTTGACTTTCTTCAAGGCTCTTGATGGCTCTGTGTAATTTATAAATTAGTTAGGGTTCCTCTTCCTTCTCACCAATTCCAGTAGTTTTCACATGGGGAGATGAATAATTGTCTGCCACATCGATTCATCTCTGCCCCTTGAATTTTATCCACAGAGTTAGGGAGGGGCTTTGCTAGCAGAGGTGGCTCTTCTATCCCAAGGACCAGCCCATGGATTTCCACTGCTCTCCTCTCCTCTGCCTTCTGTGCATCTGCGCATCAGGCACTGGACCCAGCTGTTCCTCTTCTTCTTCATCAGCCATCTCTAGACCTGTTGGCTCTCCATCTGAGGGCCAACGGACAGCCCAGGCTCCACCTCTCCCTCTCTCTCTCTCTCTCTCTCTCTCTCTCTTCCCCCTTCCCCCTCTCTCTGCCAGCTCTACTCCCTCTTTCCCCTTGGAGCTCTCAGGTTGCCCTGATGCTGGCCCTGATTCCCACACCTCCTCCTCCTCCTCCTTTGATTCGGCTCCTGGAGGGGCCGGCAGCCAACAGGACACAATAAGACCTAAAACTAATTAGAATTGCCCTTAACCACCACTAAATAAAAATGTGCATCCTTCTTTGTCAATGCATAGTGTGGAATTTGTAAGGGACAACTTGGGGACGCAGCAACTGGAACGGACGTCCGGATCAAAAACAGCCTTCTCACCTGCAGTGATTGTTACATCAAATCCAGAAGTAAGTACCCAAAGCCAATCTTAGCAACAAAAAAAATCTCGATTCTTTACTATTTCAGCCAGAAAGGCATTTTCTTAGCCTATCTGCTCCAACCAAGCCTTATGGATATGATTGCACCAAGGTAAAATACTTTATTTGCAATAGTGGCAAATACCTGTAGCTCAGGTGTAGGATAAGGGTCGCTGTCTGAGCTTGTGGGTTGGTTTCCGAAAGGTTCAAAGCACTGGTTTAGATCCAGCTTTAAAATACCCTTTTTGAGAAAAGGGTAGGGTGGCTTAACACCCTGTTTCCCTGAAAATACAACCTACCCTGAAAATAAGTGCTAACTTGATTTTTACATGTGCACCCAATATAAGCCCTACCCCCTACCTCAAATAAGCCCTAATTAAGATCCTGCCCACTCCAGAGTGGATGAGTAAAAATTAAGCTAGGGTGGGGATGTGAGGGGGCTGCCCTACTACTTACCTTTGGATAGTTGTAGCCAGGCCTCGCACACCCCAACACCTGCCTCGCTGGCCCATTTCTTTGGCAAGGCTTTCCTGAAGGCCTCTGTGGCTATAAACAAAGCTCAGGATCGATCCAGAGCTCAGTTATCGGCTGCAGAAGCCTTCAGGAAAGCCTTGCTGGCCTCAGAAGAAGTTCCTGAGGGCCTCTGACAACGAAAAGGAGGCCGGGGATGACGCTCGCAAGTGAGGTTAGTCAGTGGATGACGTCCCCCGAAAATAAGACCTGGGGCCTTTTTTGGTGGCCAAAAAAAGGTATAAAACAGGGTCTTATTTTTGAGGAAACACGGTAGCCATTATACAACAGGAGCGTAATTTTAAGGAGAGTCACATAAGATGAAATGAGATTTGTTTTAAACAGTTGTAGATTAAATAAATGCACTGAAGTGCAAAATACGAGGTGCACTCTTTCTTAAACCAGCCAGGACGTAGAGAAGAAAACTTGAGAAAAAATCTCTGCAGAGCTTAACAAGACTCCCAAAAGTCCTGCTCCAAAACTACAGGTAGTCCTTGACTTACAACAGTTCATTTAGTGACCATTTGAAGCTACAAAGGCACTGAAAAAAATGACTTAGGACCGTTTTTCACCCTTAACGACCGTCGCAGCATTCCCTGTGGCCACGTGAACAAAATTCAGACGCTTGGCAGCTTGACTCATCTTTACAAAGGTTGCAGGGGTCACGTGATACCTTCTTTTGCAACCACCTGACCAAGCCAAGTCAACAGCGGGAAGCCAGATTTACTTAACGACCGTGTGGCTAACTTAACAGCTGCAGTGATTCGCTTAGCAAGGGTGGCAAAAAAAGGGTCATAAAAACAGGTCAAAACTCCCTTAAGAAATGTCGGGCTTGATTGGGATCGTAAGACAAGGATTACCTATAGTTAGGGCCCCCTTACATTTTACCTCTCTTCACATGTCCGTCTCCTGGGGTTGTTTTGAATTCATGCTTGCAAAGTTGTTTCTTCTGGAAGGGGCTTGTGTGCAAGTGCTGGCTTGTGTAAATGTGGGGGGTGGGGAGAATGGTTGTAATAGGCAGGGCGAGAACAACGAAGGTTTTGCAAGCAAGCAAGCTGCCTGGTTTTTAGAAGCAATTAATTTTCATTAGTGAATTAATATACAGGAAATCCATGTTTTGGACCCTGCCCCTGTCTTGTTTTCAGAATGTGGCTTCTGGAAAGATAGGCCTAGCCTGCTTGAACATATGGACACACACACTCACAAACACACACACACACACATACACACACCAGTGAGGCTGGTGCACAGCTGAATAGAGAAAGCTGGTTATTTACATATTTATCCTGGTTTTTTTGAGCCTGTTGTTCCTTTGGTGGGGAGGTCACCTTGCCTTGAGGTTAATTGTGGTTTATTTCAGTTTGCAGCATTGTTTATGATATAAATAAATTGTCTCTCTCTTTCTCTCTCCCCCTTCTCTCTCCTTCCTCTTTCCTCTTGTGTCGTTCTCTCTCCTCTCTCCTTTTCTCTCTCTCCACTTTCCTTTCTCTCTCCCCCTTTTCTCTCTTTTTCTCTCTACTTTTCTCCCTCCCTCCTTCTCTCTCCCCTCTCCTTCCTCTCCGTCTCTCCTCTCTCCTCTCATGTCATTCTCTCTCCTCTCCTTTTTTCTCTCTCCTTTCCTTCCTCTCTCCCCATTTTCTCTCTTTTTCTCTCTCTCCCTCTCTCTTTCTCTCTCTCTCCATTCTCTCT